CATCCACGCCTCCGCCGCCTGCTGCCGCCTGCTGCTGCTGGTGCCCCGCGCTGCTGCGCGTGGAGCACCGCCTGGTTGCCGCTCCAGCTTGCCTTGCCGCGCGGCTCCACTACACTGTCTCCAGGCATCTGGCGCCCTTCCCTGCCAGCGCTTTGTGGGTCCGCCCTGCCGCCGTTTCTTCTCTGGCGGCCCCCCGGCTTCACTCGCCCCCCTGCGGTGTTTCCGCTGTCACTCTGACGTTCCTGTCCGCTGCGCCTGCGCTTCCCGTCCTGCCTTGTCGCTCGCCCATCGCGGTCTCGCTTTTGCCGCTGCCACTGCGCCTCGTCTTGTCCCGCCTGCACTGTTGGTGCTGGCCTTCCCTTCCTCCTCGTCTTTCCCCCGCGTTTTCCGCGCCGCATTCCTGCTCTGGGTTTGCGTCTGACGCGGTTGGTCCCCTGTGGATGGATCCATTTCCCTGGCTTCTCAGTGTGTCAGCCGCGCGCGTTTCCCGCTTCCCTCTCTTCGCCATTCTAAGCCTCGACGCTGCGCGCAGGACCGCGACGCCAGAAAGTGTGTGTATATATACGTGTATATATGTATATATATATATCTTATCTATATATATGTGTGTGTGTGTTCGCGTTCTCCAGTTGCTCGGATGAGTTTCTCCGCCTCGTCGGTGCGCGCGAGGCCGCCCGGGACCACCAAAAGTGTGTGTGTGCGCGCGCGCGCGCGCGTGTGTGTGTGTGTGTGTGTGTGTGTGTGTGTGTGTGGGTGTATGTGTGTGTGTGTGTGTGTGAATGTTTGTGTATGTGTGTGAGGATGTGTGTGATTGTTGCGTGTGTGTACCATATGACGCAGCACCTGCAGGTTGGTTCACATTTTTGGGCGCCCAGAAAGGGAGAAAGGGGATTCTACAATTTCTGTGCTTGTTGTTCTGATTTGTTTCGGGGGTGTCGGCCTTGGTCGACCACACTCGCGGCGGCACCGTGCGTGTGACTTGTGAATTGCGCGCAAAGCTTATGTTGAAGCGAGGCAGATGCGTTGTGCTCAGGTCGTGTTGAGATCACACGATTGGATACCAGCAGCATGCCTTTGTCCTCATCTGGGTCGGAGAAGTCACCCGCGCGGTCACAAGGTTAAGACCAGTCTCCACAAGGGCTCGAATGCTACACATATAGAGATATACAACACGCACTTTGCTCTGACGTGGCTGATTCCAACGAGCACATACTCGCGACGCGGGGTGTTATCACGATGACCACGCGCTTATATCAGGAGGGGGAAAAGGTGGCGGACACACCAAATAATGTTCTAAGAACCTTCTGTGGCCCGCACGATTTTTTTGTTGTATAACATTTCTGGCTGAGGCTGTCTTGTTTCAACACATCAGATTTGTGTTCTAGGAAAATGTTTTGATCATGAGACCACTTCTGGGTTCTATCCGCGCCTCTCTGGCGCCGCCTCCGGCGGCGTATATATCAGAACAGATATGGGGAACCATGGGACATGGAGGGGAATCAGACAACCCAGGAAGCATGAAAGGCGAGATACACCGTGGACCTTGTGTATACTCACGTGTGGCTCCCTCGGCCCCTTTATGCTATAGACGAGCCTTCACATACAAGGCGCTTTCCACATGGCTGTGCGGCTCAGGCCCTCTGCACCGCCTCTGCCCCTCCCTCAGGAGAGGCACGGTCCAGACGGAGTGAGCCCAGGCGGAGGCCGAGCTTTCCGTATGGACTTATTCCGTATGGATTTGGCGTCCCGGACGGAGTGCTCGGACTCCGTCTCTGCTTGTCCTGTCCGGGCTTGGCCCTTCCTGACCCGTGGAGCCACCCCAGCTCGCCATCCCTCCTGTTCCTCCTGCCGCTTCCGCCTCCCTCCTGCCTCGTCCGCCTCCCCCGCCCTCGCGCAACCCCGCCACGTTCCCTCCGTCTCCCCTCCACAGCTCAGACCTCCACAGCGGTGCCAACGTACCTCCATAAGTGAGGACCTTCTTGACCAGAAGGGCGCCAAGTGCCACCATCTGCTGTTGTCCTTCTCCACCCTGCTGCTCAATCCTTCTCTTCCTCTGCCTTTTTCGTTTTCCCCCCTCCTTCCGCTCTTCCCTTTATTCTCGACGCCCCTGGGCGTCTTCAAAGATGGGCCCTTCGCTGGGGGCCAGCCGCAAGGGGATAAGATCGAGGCGCAAGATGAGCACGAGTTGGAGGATGACAGATAGGAGAACGAGGAGGAGGAGAAGGAGGAGGAGGAGGAGGAGGACGAGGGAAGGATGCGGGACGTGGACGACGAGGAGGAAGGTGCAGGACCAGAGTAAACCTTAGATGCATCAGCGATCTTGCAACACACCCTCCCAGCCCACGTCGCCTCATGAGTATGGCCTTCCCTCTATCTGTATAACTTTTGCGAATTTTAAGCTTCAGTATCGTGGGACAGGAAGGCATTAGCTGTAAGGATATGGGATTTTGGCAGAGGGATGTGCAGCAGCAACTGATGGAAAGGAGCAACAACGGATGAGGAGGCACGGGAGGAGGAATGACAATAAGCGAGTGAAGAAGACGCAGAGGAGCAAGCGTAGGAGCAGGAGGAGGGGCACGGGCAACACGAATGACATGATGGAAGGGAAGCGGAGGGGTCGTAAACAACAGCAGCAGGAGGAAGAACAGGATCCGGAATAGCAGGCGAAGCAGCAATATGAGGAGGACGATGCCAATGAGCATAAGACGCGTCATGAGGCCAAGGACAATGAGGAATGTGGAACAGGAGATGGAGAGGGAGGAGGAGGAGGAGGAGGAGGAGGAGGAGGAGGAGGAGGAGGAGGAGGAGGAGGAGGAGGAGGAGGAGGAACAGCGGCAGTGGCATGCTGCGGAGGAACACAATAACAATCTGGAGGAGAAGGCTGCAGCGTCAACGATCGGTGGGAGGAGGGACTGGCTGGAAGGGGGCTGGCAGAAAGGAGGGGGATGGAGGACAGGAGAGAGGAGGTCGAGGCTGAGTACGAGGGCTGTGGAGGAGGCGGAGGAGGAGGAGGAGGAGGAGACACTGGTACGTGGCCCGACTCCACAGCTGCTCTTGTGCACTGTGTGGGCGATTGTAGATCCATTGTTTCAATCCAACTAAAGAAGTGATGTTATCCTACCCGTCCGTTCAAGGGGGAGGCCCGTACACTCATCATGGGACAGCTCTTTTTTCACGGTCGCATGGCGGATGGGGATGGCGGTTAGAGACCCAAGGACCCCCTTTCACTCGCGATACAGGCGGGCATGGCTTCAGCACCGGGGGACGAAGTTGGGAACCTCTTTTTCCCCGCGCCGCCGTTGCCGTCGACGACGACGATGCCGTTACCGTCATCGTTGCTAGGTTTTTTGAAGGTGCCTTCTGTGAGCCTTTCAGTATGGGGCCCTCTAGGAACCTGGACGGGATTAGCGGACCGCTGAAGACCTTCTGAGGGGTCCTTAGAGACCTTCAAGGGGCCCTGTAGAGATTTGTAAGGGGCCCTGTTATCAACCGATGGCAGCACACGAAGTCTCTTCGGGATGTGTTCGATACAACATATTATTTTAATAATCATATCAGCTCGTGAGATACGTGCAACCTTTTACCTAACTCAGGGACCCCTGAACATCAAATGGCAATGTGTACAGACAGCTTAACTTGCTGAAACTGCTGAGCTGTCATAACTCGATAGAATTGTTCACGCTTCGCGAATCCCCACCAGCCCATCCTAAAACAGCCACTTTAGCAAAGAGTACGGACTGTCGGGATTTGTTGGTCATCTTTTCAGCAATGATGCCCAGAAGAGTTCGATCAGGGAAGTGTGGGAGCATACAGAGAAACGAAGGACAGGGGATGCCGCCATATCCCAAGAGGGGAGGATGGAGGAGGAATCGGAGGAGGAGGTGGGGGAGGGGAGGAGGGAGGAGGAAGAGGGGGAGGCGGACGAGGAGGGGAGGACGAGCAGAAGGGCCAGAGGCCTCTTGGATGCATCGCGGAGTCTCTTGGGATGTCTTTTGGGAGCCTCTTGGAGGCCTTTTGGGGCGTCTTGGGGGCCTCTTGGCGGCCCCAGGGGCTTCTAGGAGCGTCTTGGGTGCCTTGGGGGAGCCTCTTCGGGCCTCTTGGGAGCCTCTTGGAGGCCGTTTGGGGCGTCTTGGGGGCCTCTTGGCGGCCCCAGGGGCTTCCAGGAGCGTCTTCGGTGCCTCGGGGGAGCCTCTTGGGGCCTCTTGGGGGCCTCTTGGGGGCATCTTGGGGGCCTCTTGGAGGCCTCTTGGGGCCTCTTGGGAGGGGAGGTATCTTGGGGCCATCTTTCGGGCGATCGATCACAGATGGGGCGAGCATTTTTGTCAGTACCCCCGTCGGGGCCACGATCCTCGTGAGGGGTGTCGAATTTTAGCCCTCCCAGGGATAGAAAAAGGACCCTCTGACCACCCGCGAAACCCCCTCTCCAGGTCCAGGGGGAGGGGGTAGGGGGAGGGGTAAACCCCTCCCCGAAGGGGAAGAAGGGGGGTTGAGAACAGAGAGAGCTCGCTAAACCACTCACGCCCAAAGGGCTGGTGGGATTGGGGTTATATTGACACTTGCGGAAAAAGGAGTTAGCACAGATTCATTCAAAATCGCTCATTGACAAGATCAGGGCTCCCCGGAACTTCACTAGGAAACAAAACCTTCAAACTCAAATAGGAGCAGGACCGACATTGAAACATATAAAATGACACAAACACCGCGGGTCCCCTACACAAGCCAGTCTGACTCGAATGTGAAGCTCACCGGTGGTTGCGGCAGCGACATTGGTATCTCTCGAATTTGTCAGCACGTTCGGCGATCGGTCGACCTCGCCGGGCACAAACATGCAAAGGGTGTGCTCCTCGGAACACTCAGTCACGAGTCGGCCTCCGCCGACCAACTTGCTCACGTCGGCCCTGCCGGCCATCATCCACCTGTCGGCCTCGCCGACCATCCTGCCAAACTGGCCTCCTGCCAAAACGGCCTTTGGGTACCCCTTCGTCCTGTCACGAAAGCTCCATGGGCGTATTCTGGCAGCTGCTGGAACCTCGGCGTGCTCAGATCCAGATTGTCGCGAGACTGCGACTGGACGAGCACCCTGCGTACTTTCTTCTGCTTGGTCGGCCTCGGGGCGGTCCCAGTCGCGGTCGTCTTGACCTTGACGGGTATTGGTTCTGTCTCGGGCTCTCGCGTCTTCTCGATTTTTGTGTCATGCTCGAGCTGCTTGGTCCAGCGTGTCCACCACACTCCAGCACGAAACCCGCAGTATAATGCCACAACAAGTCCCATCACGAAGCAGAAAACCATCATCTTCATGATCAGGTCATTCCAGTCGGCTGGCGTCGGTGGGTTGAACAGCTCGACGCCGCTGGGCGCGTACTGTACCACCTGACCTACCGCGCTGCCACCTTCGCTAGCTGCCAGTGCCGCAGCCAGCTTCGCTCCACTAGCGCCAAAATGGCGCTTGCCCTTGGCCTTCGCTTTCTCATTCGCCTTTGTCACAGGCGTCATCTCGAGGGTGTCGTGCAGTGCCTGGCCAGCGCCGTTCAGCTCCTTCTCGCGCTGCTGCATCGCCCTCTTGGAGAGCTTCGTGCCAGCCACGAAGTCGGGGTCGTAGCGCAACGCGTGCTCTCCACGGCGTAGCACGTCTGCCATCAGCTGGGGGGCCGAGAGCTTGGTAAGCCCGTCCGCCATCTGCTGCGGCGTGTTCACCCGCTTCCAGGTGGCGCCTATCTCCGTCATCTACTCGTTCGCGATCTTCACCTCGATGGCCGTCCTCTTCTCCGGGATGCCCAGGCCTGCCGTCGCTGAGCGCGACGCGTCGTAGAGGCACTTCGCGTCCGTGATGAAGGGCGTCTCTCCAAGGCACACCATCGCTTTTTCGAGTTCCAGGCCAGGTCGCGAGCTCCACGCCAGGTAGACCTTCACCCACGTCAATGAGTCCGCGCCCAAAGCTGCTGCCGCTGCCTCCGCCGACAGCGAGCTCCTGCATAGACGCTGTATCTTCTTCGAGGCCCACTCCAAGGCCACGAAAGGCGTCGGCGTGCCGGCGTTGAGCTCTTCCGCGAGTCCGATGAAGATAGCGTAGCCTCCTTGCGAACTGCCGCCATGTCGGCTCGCCCAGCTCGCGTCGGTGTAGCTGCCAACTTGCAACAGCAGGCAATCCTCGAGCTTGTGGTTCCTGAGCCCGATCTCCTTCGTGACTTCGTCGGAACGGCGGTGCCAGAGCTTGGGCGACCGCGGGTCACCGAAGCCTGGCTTGATCATCTTGAGCAGCTGTCCAGGTTGCATGCCGGTCTGGTGTGAGAGCATCTCTCTCATCTCCTCCGTCGGACTCGCGTGCAGCTTAAGGCCGTGCACGCTCGCGTCGTCAGACTGCAGGAAAGCGGACTTCACATCCACGGTGAACAGCCTGTCTTTCCTTAGAGACGCCCAGAGCATGACCGTGTGTCGGTCAAGTCTGCTGAGGGTCGGCGCCTCCTTGTCGAGCTGGCCCTCAGCCGCGTCGCGGTGCTCAATCCCCTGGTAGAGTACACGCGCGTTGGCCACCTTCTGCCCGTCCTTCATCTTCCACTTGAGTAGGAAGCGTAGAGGGCAGAAGGCTGCGGAATCCACATTCGCCTCGTTGATGGGCTCCCAGCTGTCGTTGCGATTGAAAACCTCGAGGGCCTCCCGCTTCCCTTCGTAGAACTGGCCCTTCTTCTCAGGCGTCAGCCTCCCCTCCACGATTGTGATGGCTTTCCTCGTAAAGGCCAGCATGCAGACCGTCTCGGTGGACTCCTCCAGCAGCAACATCTCGTCGTCCACCTCATCGGCGAGCGCAGCCTCCTCGCCCTATGTGGCAAGCTTTGCCCGCGCCAGGCGGGCGCGCTTGGCCAGAGGGATGCCGTCCAGCTTCTCAGCCTCCTCGACACGCCTCTTAGCCTCGCCTCGATGTTGAATCTGCTGGGCTCCTGCGCAGCGCTGCCAGACGCGCCAGCACTGGCCGCTGCTGGCGCGTCGCCCTCATCCTCGCCAGGCGTCGCCGGCTGAGGATCTCCAGGAGCCTCCGCGGCAACTGCTCCTGTCGGTCCGTCGGTCTCGCCCGTCTCCATGGGTGCTTGGGCGCTGGGTTGATGCTGCTCGCCCATGTCGTCCAGGGTGTCGTCGTGCTGGGGCAAGGGCGAGGTCCCGGTAGTTGTAGGTCCCCTTCGCCCGCCTGAGCACGCGCCTGAGCTTCTCGATCGCGCTGAGCGGGCTGTCGGGGTCCTCGCTGCGTCCTTCACGCTCGCGGGCCTCGCCTGGCAGCTCGGGGCGAAGCTGCTCCGCAGTGCATCGGTAGATTGTGCACCCGTGCGTCACCTACACCACTGAGGCGTGGATCACGTTGTCCTCGTTGACCTTCGCCTCCACTGCCACCGCCAGAGCTGGGCCGTGCCAGTGGCGCATCTCCAGCCCCTGCGTCTGCTCCGGTCACCAGAAGTAGACCCACTCGCCGCTCTCGTAGTTCCTTCTCGTCGGCCTGCTGCGTGCCAGCAGCGTCGCTCGCACGGCGCACGAGCAGTTGGCCTCGATGAAGGCCGTGGCGGCGGCCGTCCTCCTGATCATCATCTCGCGCACCTCGCTCTTGGGGTCAACCAGCGCGGCCTGCTCCGACAGGCCGAAATTCTCGTCGCAGAGGGCGCCTGGGAGCTTGGGCTGCGCCGCCAAAACCAGCGCCGCGGGCGAGAACCCGTGCGCGCTCCTCAGGGTGTTCCGCTGGCTGGCGGTTATATCGAGGGTGGTCTTGAGCGAGTCGTCAGTAAACTGCAGATGGTACTTGCTGAGATGTTCCCTCCGGACCACGTGGTTCCGCTCCATCAGGCATAACCTGTGGTGCGCGCCTTTCGGGATCATGTCGAGCTTGATGCTATGCTTGCTCATCCAGTCGTGCATGCGCTTGGCCGTGTGCGAGCCTCCCATGTCCATCCGCATCGTCTCAGGTTTGCCAGCCGAACTGATCCAGACTTTCTCCCATAGCTTCGTCTTCTTCAGGAACATCTCCTTCGAGATCGGGTAGTCGGCCTCGTAGCGTGTAAGCTCGTCCATGATGGCCACGATCTTCCTCTTCTTCTTCCACGTGGTGTAGTACACGTCGGTGCAGACCACCTAGTTGAACCTCTTGGCCCTCGGCAGCACAGCGACGCGAACTGCTCGGGTCTCTGCCTGCCTAGGCAGATCTCGCACTGGAGAAGCCTGGCGCGCTGGATCCATTGCGCCGGGGCACCCGCACGCTGCATGGCAACCGCCAGCGCTGCGTTCGAAGGGTGGCCCAGGCTGACGTGTGCGCGCTTGACTGCTCTGATCGTCGATACGTTGAACCTCTTCATCAGCTCCTGCATCAGGTCGGTGTACTCGATGGCGTCGATGCCCTTGTAGACCTCCTCGGCCGTGTTGATGTCGATGATGTCGTCGGCCATGCCCTGGTCGGCGATCAGGTAGGCCCTCATCTTCGCCATCGGTCACGGGTAGTTGTGAGCCTGCTGGGCGAGCTTGCCCCGCAGGATCACGTGGTCCTGCGTGCGCATGCCAGGTCCATGTGGTGAATGAACTCCTTGTTGGTCGACTGCAGTATCGTGCGCTTCTGGTAGGGCATGTCCTTGCCCTGGACCTTGTACTTCGCTCCCAACCTGCGCTGGTCGAGTCTGCAGTGATATCCTGGCAACTTCTTCCACGTCTTCGTCCGCCAGTGTAGCCCCTGCCACGGGCCTTCCACGTGCGCCTGTCGGTTCCGTTCTGCTGCTTCGCAGACGCCGTCGGAATCATCTTGAGAAACGTCAGCCAGGAGCGCCAGTACTTGCGCGGGGGAGCGAAGAAGATATCGTCGAGCTTGTCAATGTTGATCTTGTCTAGGAAGTTGCGGGTCACGGCGTGCTTGGAGAAGTCCCAGCCGTCTTCGATCTTGAACTGGAGCATTTCGACCTGCAGGAACTCGAGCAGCTCCTGCGACAGGGCCCCATGATCCACGGAGACCTCCCATACCATCCGCTTGCGCGGCCCGCGCAGCGTGTCCTTCATGTCGGACTCCGCCTGCTCCAGCGCCAGGGCCAGGTCCGAGTGGGTGTCCGTATCCATCAGGTGGCGCTCTGGGCCCGCGACCTCGTCGGTGGCCAGGGTCTCATCGTCGCTGCCGATGTCGTAGAACTCCGTCCGCGTCTCCAGGTAAAAGGGGTTGGGGTCTGGCGCCGACGAGTCCTTGTCGTCGCCTTCGTCGCCCTTGACCGAACCTCCTCCTGTGTCTTTGTCCGTCGAGTCGCTGCTGCTGTCATATCCGTCGGTGGGGCTCCCTCGTTCATGGCGTCGTCGGCGTCGCGGCCAGCTCCGCCCAACAGGTCTATGATGAACGGGCCCTTCTCACCGCGCTCGGACTTCATCCAACCCTTGTCGGGGAGATCCTTCATCATGAACGTTTCAGCTCGATAGTCCTGCATCAAGCCCCACTCCTCCATGCAGGGTCGTGCGATCAGCAGCGGCGGCCAGCCCTCGACGAGATGGATCGCGATCTGTTTCTTGACGCCGAACGGCCACACCGTCAGTGTTACAGCCTGTTTCCAGCGTCTTGTCGTCTCCGCTTCGGAAGCGTCGATCACTCTTGCCATACATGCAACAACTGCTTCGAAGGAAAAAGCTCCTCCCGCTGCGTCCACGCCTTGTCGCCCATGACGGGTCGCGTGGCACTTCCATCGTTGATGCCCTTGCCTGCGGTCAGCAGGAAGATCTCCTCGGTCGAGTTGGCGTACTCCAGCGTCTCAACATCCTCCACCATGGGTGCCTCGTCCTCGGGCTTAGTGAAGCCACCGTGCCTACAGCGCTTGAGCCTCGGGCCATGCTGCTGGGTAGAACCCGATGCAGTCGAGCCCGCTGGCGACGGTGGCGCGACCTCGCCAAAGGCTCCTTTCTGAGGCCGGAAAGCTTCACGTCGTGGTGGGTCAAATCCTTTGCCGCGTCCTTTACCTCTGCCACGCCGTTTGCCTTTGCCAGTGCCTGGTCTCGTCGCTCGCGTGGGTGCGCTGCCGTCGCGCTGGTAGTTGCTCTCGGGGTCGAGGGCGACGATCGGGTAGAATCCTCCGGCCTTGGCGATCTCCGCCGCGCGCTTCTTCGCGCCCACGAAGCTGAGGTAGGCCTCGTCGCACGCCACTTGGGCCTCCTCGACCTCCTGCGGCAGCTCCTCTGCGACGTCGGTCTCCTCCTCGTGCTCGTCGTAGTCTTGCTCCTCGTCGTCCTCGTACTCTTCCTCCTCCAGGTAAGATTCTTCGTAGCACAGGCCTCGCTTCCACTCGTAGTCGTTCGTGTAGTTCACGTCGTCCTTCAAGCTATGTCCGACCAGTATTTTCTCTACTCGTTTCACGTCGCGCTTGTCGGGCATAGCTTCGGCTCCATACGTGTCGAGCAGGGCTTTCTTCACCGTCGTCCGACAGAGACCGTCCACGCATTGACTGCGAACCTGGGCGGCGCCCGATGGTGGGACATCCGCTCGTGTGAGGAGGTGCCAGCCCGCCAGCATGTCGGGGACCTCAATCCTGACCTCCTTGAGCTTCCTGAGCCCCATCTTGTGGCGAAGGAAGTACAGCTTCATCCTCTCCTTCTCTTGGTGAGCGAACTTGCCGAAGAAGAGATTTGTACGGGCTGGCAACTCGGTCTGGTTGTCGTATTTGTAGGGCTCGTCCAGAACCTGGAACAATGGCCTGAAAGCCTCTTCCGTCTCTAGCAATTCCAGGTCGATGTCCTCCGTGGCCTTCGCGGCCTCACCTTGCAGCGAGTTCATGACCAAGAACGCTCCCTCGCTGACCGCGGTCATGCCGCGCTTCCTGCCGCACCGCTCGAAGACTTCCAGCTTGCGTCGGAAGACTCGATAGCCGTCGGTCCTCAGGAGCTCGTAGCTCGGCGCCGTCTTGGACAAGCCAGCGTCCAAGTCTCGTCCTCCCCCGTCCCAGGTGGAGCTCTCTTGTCGGGTCCACCAGCCTTGCCAGCCAGTCCAATCCGTGTAGTTGGCCTCGTCCGCGTCCGCGCTGCTCGGCGGCGTCTGTCCATCCGCGCCGGTCTCGGCGGCAGCGGCGGCGGCAGAGGCTGCAGGTGGGCCGCCTGGCGGCGGCTTGGCCAGGGGCGGCGCGCGAGGCGCGCCGTCTGGCATGGCGGCGATGGGGGAACCTCAGAAAGTGGATATCCGGCTCCGCTACCAATATCAACCCATGGCAGCACACGTAGTCTCCTCGGGATGTGTTCGATAGAACTTCGACAGAACAGTTTATTTCGATAATCGGACCAGCTCGTGAGATACGCAATCTTTTACCTGACCCAGGGGCCCCTGATTATCAAAGCAATTGGTACAGCCATATGTTAAACAAACTGCTTAACACACATCATGCTTGCTGAAATTGCTGAGCCGTGCCAATACACAAGAATAACAAAAGTCGAAATAACTGAGGCTACATTGACACCTGTGAGGAGAAGGGGCGCTCCAGAGACCTTTATGGCGCCACCTAGATTTTATCCCCGTCTTGACTTCGTCTTACGTCGGGGTTCAAGGGACGGGGGTCTGTGCAAACTCGGGGGCGGCAAAGAGGGGGATGATGACTAGGGGGGGGTGGATCTCATGGCGGGGGCCATGATATTTCCCCAGATTTCATGACGCCCCTTCTTATTTCACTACGTTCCTGGCCCCCCCGCTGGGCCGCGCACGTGCCGCCGGTCATGATCTGCACCCCCCCCTCTTGGACACCCCCCTCTTGGCCGCTCCCGACAAACGGGGGTCGGTCAGAGCGCTGGGTCTTGCAGGGTTCCGCGCCACGGCTTTGCCCCTGCCCGGGCGTGCGTGCAGGAGCCTGGGGGGAGCCCTGCAGGACTTTGCGGGATCCTGCAAAGCTCAAGTCGGGCCCGTCCCTCTACAGGGGGATGTTCAGAAACAGTCAGGAAATAGTCTGGGGACGATTTTTGGAGCATTTTTTGACCATTTTGGGGTATTTCTGGGGTGTGTTTAAGTTTTCGCTCAAAATCCCCCTGTAGCGGGACAGGCCCGACTTGATGCAAAGCCCGACTGACCCAGGTGTGGATTGCTCTGGGTCGGTAGGTCCCGGAGAGCGCATCTCGGCGGCGAGCCCGTGGGAGAAGTTTCTCCGTTTTCGGCCTCTGGGGGCCCCTGCCGGGCCCCGGGGCTGTCGAAGAGCGGCTCGGGACCGTTCCCGGGGAAAGGGCCGGGGCTTCTGTGATCGCGCATTGGAAAAGCAGGGCGTTGTTTGGGGAAGCGATTCCTGGGATTCGGCGGCGAGCTCGGGAAGGAGGTGAGAAGGGGTGGGCCTTCTCAGAAGGCTCGGAAGCGCCGCAGCCTTCTGAGAAGTTTCCTGAACCGTCCCCGAAGACACAGACAACTTTTCAGAAGGCGCGAGAGCTTCTGAGAAGTCCCGCCGCCTTCTGAGAAGGCCTTTTCCTTCTCACTTCCCCCCCTCGTTCGCTGGCGACCATCGACCTCGATCGCCCAGTGTCGGGCCACGAGATCTGTACTCCGCATTTCATAACAGGGGGGCTACAACCCTCCCATACCAGCACTTTTAGACCACCCCCCAGACCAGCCATGAAAGGGCGGGCTTTTGCCCAGACCCCCTGGAACCCTCAAAGACCGCTCAAATCTGACTTCCCCTCAAATGTGACGCCCCACAGTTTTACCACGCAATCTTGAGTACATATCCGCTGCCCCCTGGCCAGGCCCTTACTGGGCCCAGAAGCTGTCTATACGCCCTCTTGGCCAAGCCAGGAGGGCGTGGCGTACAGTCGGGGCCCTGGAGAAGGAACCCTTTTCGTTGGGGAGGGGCTCGGTGTTCCTTGATTGTTTCACAGCTTGCCTTAGGTTTTTCCTTTGGTTTTCGATATGGAATCGAAGTTTAACTTATGGAAAAAAAGGGGCATCGTTCCTCCTTTGGGGTTCCTTAGGTCAACGCCCCGGCTGTATGCACCGCTGCTGGGTTCAGGATGGGCCTGGCCAGGGAGCAGTGGACGTGCACAGGTTCCGTCGCCCTGCGCTCCTTGCCGACGGGGGCCTGGTGGCCAACCGCCTTACAGGAGCGTGCGGCTTCGCCACGTTGGGCCTCTCGCCGACCTGTCGGTGACGTACAGCCGGGGCCCTGAAGAATGCGCCCTTTTCGTTGGGGAGGGGCTCCGTGTTCCTTAAGTGTTTCGCAGCTTGCCTCAGGCTTCCCTGATGTTTTCGACAGGGAATCGAAGGTTAACTTAAGGAACAAAGGGGCCTCGTTCCTTATTTAGGGTTCCTTAGGTCAACGCCCCGACTGTAGTTCGATGTTTCCCTCCAATCGGTCGGCAGCACCCGAACATGCTGATACTACATGAGCGTCGGCCCCCTAGTGGCGGGCGGGGCGCTCCCTGGTCACACCGCTCGGGTGACGCGATACTCAGAAGACGTTTGTCCTCTGTGCTCGGTTCGGTCGCGCCCCTCCGAGGGGGCCGCATACTCCTGGTACGTCCTCCCGTGTCCCGATCGATCCCGCTGGCGGGGCTGGCCGCGCCAGCACACTCAGGTGAGAACACTTCTACCTCTGAGTGGCCTTGCTCCCCCCCCCCCGCGGCCGCCCTCTCTGCCCTCTTCCCGCTCTTGCACGCTGGCCAGTTCGCTCCTTGTTGCCCCCCCCGCTCAGCTCTGCCGCTGGTGCCTCCGACTCCGCCTCGCCGCCGACGTCGTCGGCCCTCAGCGCCTCCCCCCCTCCCCGCGCCGCCGTAGGCCAGACGGCTCCTCCTACGAGGGGAACTTCGAGGGTGCGCCCCTGCCGCGAGGGGCCGGGCTCCGCGAGGCCGGGGCCACGTGGACGTGCTCGGGCCCGCCGGGGCCCGATGCCTTTGAGCGACGCAGAAAGCGGGGGCGGCCCCGAGGGGGTCGAGGACTAGGGGGGTGGATATCATGGCGCGGGCTGTGAGATTTCCTCGGATTTCATGGCGCCTCCTCTCATTTCATCCGTTCCTGGCCCCCCCCCCTGGGCCGCGCACGTGCCGCCGGCCATGATTTGCGCCCCCCCCCCCCCTCTTGGATGCCCCCCTCTTGGATGCCTCCCTCTTGGCCGACCCTGGCGAGAGACGGGTCTGTCTGCACGGACACTGGCGCGTAAGTTGCCCGCGCAAGTTCGCGCGCAGGCGCCCCCGTCTCCAGTGCAGCGCGCCGTGCCGGCGGCCCGCGTGGGCCGCGGCGTCAGGTTGTTGTGCCATTTTGCGCAGGACCCCTTTCTTTTCGTCGCTTCTTTGCCCCAACGTGTGTTTCCGGGTGCTTCTCGCACGTTGTCCGGAGGAGGAGGAGGAGGAGGAGGAGGAGGAGGAGGAGGAGGAGGAGGAGGAGGAGGAGGAGGAGGAGGAGGAGGGAGGAGGAGGAGGAGGAGGAGGAGGAGGAGGAGGAGGAGGAGGGAGGAGGAGGAGGAGGAGGAGGAGGAGGAGGAGGAGGAGGAGGAGGAGAGGAGGAGGAGGAGGAGGAGAGGAGGAGGAGGAGGAGGAGGAGGAGGAGGAGGAGGGAGGAGGAGGAGGAGGAGGAGGAGGAGGAGGAGGGAGGAGGAGGAGGAGGAGGAGGAGGAGGAGGAGGAGGAGGGAGGAGGAGGAGGAGTGGGGGGTAGCGAGAGGAAGCGAGTGGGAGCAACCAATTCTGGAGGCCTGGACTCTCGACGGAAACGTGAGGGAGAAGACGGGGACAAAACCTTTTCCGAATATATATATATATATGTATATGTATATGTATATGTATATATCTATACGTATTTATATATATGATCGACCCCACCCCCCTGGTATCATACCATTCGCCGTTCTGCGAACGGCGACTGCGAACGGCGAATGATATGATACCAGAGGGGGGGGAGAGGAGTAGGGGGGAAAGGAGTAGGCGTAGGAGACGGAGGAGGGTGTTTTTTCTTTTTTTCCCCCTCCCCGCCCTCGGAGGCGGAGTTGTTTTCCTTTTTCCCTGTGAAAACACAAGTTTTTCCCTTAATTTCATTTTTTTTCTTTTTTTCGGGCCCCCCCTGGGGCGGCGGGGAAACCCCGAGGGGCCGAACGGGAGAGCGAAAAACAGGGGAAAAAGGGAAAACACATGTGTTTTCACATGGAAAAAGAGGAAACAACTCTGCCTCCGAGGGCGGGGAGGAGGAAAAAAAGAATTCAACACCCTCCTCCGTCTTCTCCGCCTAGCCGACTCCTTGACTCAACGTTCCCGCCCGTTTTCTGCCGAATTCCGTTCCTCTTTCTCTCGTTATCTCTCCTCTTTTCTCCTCCCCCTCTCTCTCTCTTGACTCTCTCTCTCTCTCTATCCTCCTCCCTCTCTTGACTCTCTCTCTCTCTCTCTCTCTCTCCTCCTCTCCTCTCCCTTCCTCTCTCTCTCCTCCTCCCTCTCCTCCTCCCTCTGTCTCTCTCCTCCCTCTCTTGACACTCTCTCTCGCTCTCTCTCTCTCTCTCCCCTCCTCCTCCTCTCCTCTCCTCTCCTCCCATTCTATGTACCCCGCCCCGCCACAAAAGGAATCGAGGGTAAATCCGCTTCCCCCGTGTCCACCTCCGCCTTCTACTCTTCCTCCTCCTCATCATCTTTCTCCTCCTACTCCACACAAGGAATCCATGTGGAGGCCCCTCCACATAAGGGATCGATATGTGAAGGGCCTCCCACATAAGGAATCAATTTGTACAGGCTCCTTCACATAAGGAACTCATCTATGAAGGCCCCTCCCACATAAGGATTCAACATGTTGGAGGCCCCTCCACACAATATATCAATATGGAGACCCCTTGTACATAAGGAATCAATATGCGGCGGTCCCTCCACAGACAAACTCAATATGTGGAGGCCCCTCCACATAACGAATCTATATTCGAAGGCCCATCCACATAAGAAATCCATGTGGAGCCCCCTTTGACCTAAGAAATGAATATGTGGAAGTCCTTCCACAGACGAAATCAACATGTGGAGGTCCCTTTCACAAGAGGAATCAATATGCGCGAGGCCCCTTGCGCATAAGGAACAAAAATGGGGGAGGCCCCTCCACAAAAGGAAAC